GAGTAAAATATAAAAGCTGAGGAGAATGAGAATACCAAAAAGGTAAAGCATCTTCAGGAAAATTATGGTTCGAACTAGGAAGGCTTTAATAGTGCTGGTTAGAAGTTTTATGTTTGTGGACTGATGAAACTTTGTTTATTTACACATTTTCAGGTGAATACCCCGCAACGGATACAGACATTGAAGAAGGACCCATCGAGAAGGAGATTTCGACGAATACACTCGAGCAATAACTATGTATGAGCCTTCTAACGGTTGTTTTCCTTCTTAATCTACCTATTCATGTTTAAATATTATGTAACTATTCTTTCTCATGCATAGATTATAGATGCACTTTGTGTGCCAAGTAAATGTTTTCCAAAAGGATTTCTCAAGAGTTACTCGTGGCTTTGCTTAGCCTTCGACTTAAGGCCGAACATATCTTCTGCAAGCTTGTTCCTTACGATTGGATATTTCTCGTTTTTTCTACTCTTTAGTTGTTTTACAGTTACCCTGTGTCCATTTAAGTGTATAACTCAGAAATCATTATAGGAAGCACGGCATTGACTACATTCAGAGTTCCCGTTGACGATGCGTGTTTGCGTAACGCCATCTCTGCCGCTGCCACAACCATTTTCCCGGTGTCGTACCCATCTGGTAAAGTGTGGGCTTGTCATTGCAAACTCTGAATATAGCTGTCGATGGTTGGGTATGTCATTGACAATGCGTGCTCTGACAATGACATACGTGAAAATCAAAAGGTGTGCTCCTTCATTTTTTGGGGCGTCTTGAAGATTCAGTCTCCTTCCTTCGAATAGGTAGTATTCCCCTGTCGGCAGTTGGCAGCTTTCGTAATCGATGTGCAACCCAATGGTTTGGCTGGTTTTACAGCGAATAGTTTCCTATTTGAAACAAGTTTAGCATCCCTGCTTCGATTTCCTTGTCATATCAAGACATAAAAAACTGATTCTAGGTAGCAATTTATGTGGCGTACAATAGAATCAACGTGCCTGGGTCCCGAACCCTTTATGTCATTATTGGTAATCTGTCTCACTAACCGTTTGGCCGTTCCGCGACACAGTTGCTCGTTTCATTCTTATACATATACCAAGAAATACAGTGCATCCACCGTCAATTTCAAGTTTTTCGTCATTGGGGAAACGATTTTCAAGAAATTGGAAACCCGGGAGATCCCTGTTATTGTTATCCCTGTTATTGTTATCCCTGATCCCTGTTTATTGATCCCATTTGCAAGTTTGGTAAAATGTAGGGAAATGCTCGGTGTTTTCAAGCGAATATTACAGCTTCAAGCATTCAACGAATTGGCAATGGGATTTTTGTAGGCTTGCATCCAAAGGAAACGAACTTTCCACCTTCTAGACAAAGAGCGAAGCTCTTATCCACTGCACTATCAGGCAATCCGACGGATCTCTCATTCCCAATACAGCGTATTCGTTATTGGGATCAAAATAATCGCGGAAAAGCATGCCATCCAAGGATCGAACCGGAGAGCTTTCAAACAATGAAAGGAAGTCTGGTATGGAGTAATCATGGACTGTAATCATTATCTGCGGAAAGAAATGTTATTAAACAATCCATTATTGAAATGTCCAGAAGAGGCTACGACTACAAATCAGTCCATCACGAATTCGGGTACTGTGATGGAGCGCGGAAGTTTAGTTAGTTGCCTAGTTTTCTTTGACTCGACTTCTCGGAACTCAAGTCCGAATTGTAGGTATTATCAGAAGACAAACGTTTTTGTTCAGCAGATGATTACTATTTGAAAGGTAAAAAAGTCGTTCAGTTGGAAAAAAAACCATGGGGCTTTTGTAATGACCCTATGACAAGGAGAACAACAGTACAGCAGAGGGCCAACAACCATTTATTGTGAGATAGGAGCTGAAATTGTTGAAGTTTCTCCATCAAGAAGTTGGCAGAAAAAAATTTCAAAAATGCCACTGCAACATTCCAATGTATTTGGGCAGTAGCAACTATTCGGAGATCAATCCGAACTGAAGGCAACCTATACCAGCTTCACCAGTTCTGGCAGTCCGCAATTGACCAGATCCCTACTGGGTCTTGATTTAACCTCTTCTGGGTTTCAGTCGTTTTAGAGAGGAAAAGAAGTTGGCGCGAGTTACTAGGAACTGAAGCTGGAAGTGCCATGATGAAAAATACGAAAATACAGCAGTTTCCAATGAAAACGATACTCATATGAAATAGTACAATACTCGTGGAAAGAAACAAATTCACCCAACCGTCTGTTCAAAACCAGATTTTCTGAAAGACGCATGCCATTGAACTCAGCTCCTGAGGCTCCACAAGGCAGTACTTGAAAGTATGGGAATACTTATTTTGAGACATGCTCCCAAGTTTCGAAGGATATTTTGTTCTTGCCTGAGAAGAAAGCCATAAGATCTAGGGACGAAATCGGACTACAGTGAGGGCTCCGCAGTAATACAGTGACCGATTCGACAACAAGCGAGCATTTCTTTTACTAAGGGGTCCCAGTATGCGGCATATTTTGGCGAATTATACAACAGGGTTACGTTCTCTGGAAAGGCTCTAGTTGGTTTTTTGGTTTATATGAAAAAAGCAAAAATGTTTTTAATTTTTGTTCAAGTAATTCAGCCGTTCAAGTTCTGACAGTGGTGCAAAATGTTAGTTTTAGAAAAGACCTATTGGAAACCCTACGGAATTTCCAATTCGCATTGTGGATGAAGAAGAAGAAGATCGATTCAAAGAACCAAATCGGAATACGAGGAAGGATTGAAAAAAGTAAAGAAAAGCGTCAAAAAATTATCCAACAGAGAAGTTGCGCGAGCAGGGGCCGACATCGATCCGATTCCTACCGCCCGTGATGGTACAATTGACGAGGGGAGTCGACTCTGACGAGAGTCACTTTCGACAACTTTCTCAACTGAATTACCCTTGAAAACTTTACCGATCCTCTGCTGCTCAGTCTTCTTGAACAAGCAAACCGTATGAAAAGAACGGCCTCAGTTGAGCAACTGAATATTACGTCGAGCAGGAGCTCTTCTAACTCTTCTGGCTGCCCTAAAAGAAGAAAGGGCTGTATTGGCGATGCAAACACACAGTTGCAATCAGTTTCCCAGGCGTTTTTTTTNTTTGGAATGAAATCGATTGCACGACGTACGATTTTGATCAAAATTGGTTTTGTTTGTTCTTATTGTGCTTAGACAGTTTGTATTTTCAAGTTTTTTGTAGTGTTAGTACGGAATTGTAATTTTTTCGCGGAGAGGATTTTTCACAAGGTGGGGCTGGATTCAATGAACAGCATAAAATTATATCCAGTAACTCCCTTTTCCGCTTGCGTTGCGCTTTACCAACTCAGGAACTTTTTTGGGAGGTTTTTTTTTCATGACAGTGTTTGGTTCTTGTCGATTATACATGTTCGATCCGTTCTCATCAAGCTTTTGTTGCCTATAGGCTGATGTCATCTAGGGCAAGTGGGTGGCAGCCCAAAATGAAAATCGTTGTTACCTTTCTTTTTGGAGATTTTTAGGTGAAAAGTTCTACTTGCGGATGACTCCAAGAAGGAGCGCTCAGGCGCGGTTCTCGAAGAAGACTACCTTTCCTATTTCGACAACAAATTCACCAGAAATGTTCCTGAGTGACGTAAGGTTAGAGGCTTTTTGCAAAAAATTGCGAAATTTATAGTTTCAGTATTCAATACTTTTCTTTGAAAATTACTGTACTCATGTGTGGCAAAGCAAGCAGAAGGATAAATATGTTTGAGAGCACGAGAGCGAAGAACAACTTTCTGCAAAAATAGGTTCAAGCGTCTAGCATATTTTCAGTTTTATGTGTATGTTTATGTTGAAACGCTCATTTTGCTCTCTACTTCGCATTCCTATTTGGGTTTCATTTAAGAAAATATTAGCAATTTAGATTTCTATGGTTTCAGGAGTTGTTACTATGAAGTTGGACTTTGATGAATCTGCCGCCTATTGACATCGTGGTAAGCAGTTGGACATGTGAAAAATGATTGTTAAGGTCTTTTAATTTGACTGCTATTTGATTGCTTTTTCTTCCTATTAGAATCACTTACTCGTTGTCAATCTGTGTTGTTATTAATAAAGTGTTAATCAAAATGTTGTTATTTTTGATATGACCATGTTTTTTTTTACGAAATTCTACAGTATCGTAATCGTGCGGGTTCAAGCCTAGCAGGGGAGGAAGGACATCTCAAAAGGTCGG